AGGAGTGAATGCTTAATGAATGTTGCTCATCAATTAGCATGCTCGCCATGGTGCTGGCATAACCATAACGCCCAGCTCGGGCATCCGGTACCTGCTTCCTCGCCGCCAGCTCAGCGCTCTCCCTCTCCGAAAGCAGAAGTGACAGATACACAAATGTGCTGACTGTTCCATTTATTAGTGAATGCTTCCAATAAATATTTGCCTGACCTGACACAGTGAGTAATAACTCTGGGCATCTAGCTTGACAAATTATACAGCCCTGGAATTTCAAATCGCAGTCGCGCACACACGCTCGCCCGCGTCCTGCTTTGTTTAATGAGATAGCTAATGGAAAAGGGAGCAGCACGACCAGACATCTGCATGGACTGGCCCCCCACCCCTGTTTCGAAGTCTGAGCCACCAGATATGGCTTGCTAATTCAGCCTCATGTGGCTCAAACACCTCTCATTTGCAGAAAAACAAACCCTTTTCAACTAGAAAGCTGAGTGACTTCTGCACAGCTGGTCTCCTTCTGATGGGGCTCCACTCTGGGGGTGCCTGTGCCCTGGTCAAAATTCCCGATATGCAGGCCACACTGCCTCCTCACTCCTGACCTTTCCTCTCCACTGAGACCTGCCCCCTTCTCCTCCCACGCCACCACATTTCAGGTTCATAATATACTGAAAAACTTAAAATGCAGCCAGGCGAGCTAACCTCCCCTGCTCCACACCCCAGCCTTTAACAGCTGGAGTGGTGTGCACAGTCTGGAAACTGCCACCTCTTCCTCAGGTCATAATGAATCCAATTAATCAGGTACAGGATACGCACAGAGATGCGTTTTTACGATATCCTTCAGTTCATTGTTATGGTGCCCCTTTAGTGCGTGCAGTGAAGATGTTCCAAGGAAAAGGCCATAGTGAACAATATCAATTTTAAAATCCTGCTCTGCTGGTCACACAGTTTTGCTGGAAGCCGTGTGGGAACCATCAGTCGGCTCCTTCCGCCTCTATGCAGCGCAAACAGTGGAAAGTCACAGGGTACCGAATGAGGACATATGTTAAAAAAGTGGGAGATGAACACGCCAGCTCGTTCTAGTGTGCGAGACACCTTCCTAAATGACATGTTGTGGGTTGATTGTGCTCCTCTCCACAGTGAAAGGAATGGAAAACGTTTTGAAAAGGAAAAAAACAATAGGACTTTTACATATCTGTTTTCATGTTTTCCATACTGATCAGGACACCCCTGATATCTTTTTAAGAAGGATTAAAATAAAATTCTATAAGCTTGCACGGAAAAATCCTGTGTATTCTGGACTCTAGTAACGGGCTTTGCTTTGGGTTGCGAACACTTCAGCCTAGTTCAGACGAAGCGGCGTTGACAACGCCCGTAACCACGGAAACACTTGGCCTTGTGGGAGTGGACACCCAGCTCCTGTGAGGAGGACCGGGTTGGCTCTGGGAAGAATCCTCCATCTGCCAGCCTCCTTATTTTAGTGCTTGCACAGAGGGGATTCTTTTTCTGCCTCCTGCAGAAAATCTTTTCAGAGGCAGCAAACAGGGTCAGGCGGCAGTGCGTGGGCAGGACTCTTGCCAGCTTCAAGCAGGGTGGCGGAGATAACGCTGCGGTCATGGAGCCACAGAGCATGCTGGGAGAGTCCGGGTCAGCCATGACTGATAACGAGAGAGGGCACCCCTTCAGGGCACTGTGTGTAGTGAGGTGAACAAGCACAGTGCTTCCCAGTGCGCTGAGCTTCACGTCCTATGAGGGGGGAGTTCATTCACCTTCCAGACGGCCGAGCCTGGCTCGAGATCCAGACGAAATGAGACGTCTCATTTTAATGCCCAGCGGCCGCCGGGAGACATATGTCTGGATCGTAGCATGACCGCTCAAAGTGACACAGGCAGGCGCTCTGCACTGAGGGTGACCAAGCACGCAGAACTAACCTCCCAGACTAACTGCCAAGACCAGTGTGGTAGACATCATGGATAGACTGCACACACCCTTAGAAACAAGCTGCCTCAGTGCCGTCCGAACACTGTCCTCTGGCAGCCCTGACCAAGCACAGCTTCTGAGGTGACTTCAGAATCTTCGACACATTCTGCCCCAGGAGAGCCAGATTATTTGAATTACACCTGCAGGAATATCACCTTTAAAACGGTTTGCTCAATGGATTTCAAAAGGAGGCCATTGGAAAGTTCTGCCCTGTAACCCTTCAGGACACAAACTCTGTCGTAAATAAGCAGGCAGCCTCCCTCCACCAGATCCCTTTTCCAGGCTGAGACCTCAACACCTCCTCTCCCAGGAGGGCCAAGACAGATTCCTTCGGCAGCTGCGTGGTTTTGGCCTTTTTTTGCGACAAGTGACGAGACCCTGAGAACACCTCTTTTCCGTTTGCATTCTTCCAGGGCTGTCCAGGGATCTGAGTAAACGTCTCAGACTCTACCGTCTGAAGCCTATGAGAACGGAAGATATTTCCAAATCGCTCCCGAGCCTTTGCCATCCGGATGCCATGTAGCGGGAATCTCAAGGAGAATGGAGGAACACACTGGAGCTCTGACAGGGGGCCCCTGGAGGACCTGTGCAAGGAGGAAGGGGTGTGAAGCAGGCCCGTGAGCAACAGCGGACAGGCTTGGCGCTCCGGCGAGAGCTCTGGGTAATGTGTAACGGGAGCTCTGCTGCGGTGGCAGGGCGGAATTGCTACATAATATAATTACATTGAGGCATCACTCATCCTTGGCTTTGTGTTTCACTGAGATGACAGGCTGCATTTCCCCCACCTCCATCCAGACAGACAGGCAGGGCTGGCAGCTCCCAGTCCACAGCCGCCCCCTCTCCTTCCTGCTCTCCGGCTCCCTCGCTGTGGGGCAGTAGATACAATTACCCATTCTGCTCAGGTTTCTCCATGCTAAAATAGTCCTCCGTTATTTGCATGCATATTTCATGAATTGCCTTTTTTTTTTTTAACCACATCCTTAAAAGAGTCACTTACACCTCGTATCAGCAGTGCAATAACTCCAGCCCCCTGCTCTTGCGGGACTGACTCGGACGGACCGACATGCTGCCGTGCCCTGGGGCACAGGGGGCACAAGCTCGGGGGTACGAACTCATTTGACACCTTTCAAATTACGCTGGGGCCGGAGAGCACTTTTGAGAAAACTGCACTACCCCACAGGCGACTGCGAGACCGGGGATAAAAAATAAAATAAATGATGGGTGGAAAAATAATGCAATGATATAACACCAGAGCAGCTCCTCAAGTGACAGCAAAGTGCACGCTGGCCTAGAAACCTCACTCATCATTACACAGAACAATCTGATGCCATCTTCGTACCGCAGAGCTGGGGCTACAGGTCTTGGGTTTGTCTCATCTACTGTAACTGCTTTGCTTTAGTGAACCCCGACCGCTGGGGTGTCAGTGCTGCTATGCACCCGAAACCCGGACAGGACTGTCTCTCCCTTCTTTATTTCCCTCTCCATCTCAGGCTGACAGAAGTCCAGTAACCCGGCGCCTGTGCGCTTGGTTGGCGAGACTCACGTCTGGATGCTCCGCCTGTTTCTCTCCCTTCTTGCAAGCTGTGCATGTCACACTCTCAGTGCCTCAGTGGGCGCGTCCGTGTCCGCATCCCCTTGGAGCAGCTCTCACATTCTGGTGCTCACAGGCTTGGAGCCAGGGCTCAGACCGGAGGATACACACACACACTGGGGGCCGTGCCCTAACCATCCTGGACGACTAAGGCTGCAAGGCCTCAATGGGGAGGCTGCTCTTGAAAACCCAGTCATCTCCCCCCCCAGCTGGAGGAGTTTCAGTACCTGCTGCTGCGCGTGGAGAAGACTCATGTGCTCCGAAAGACACACTGCATCTCAGTGCAACTATCATCACCGCAGAGTTCCACACGATACTACGGGCTCCGTCTGCTGTCTGCTGTACTTCCTGTCGATTTTTAAATGCTACTAATTATGTCTACTAGGAACAGCAGCGAGAAAATAAGTGTAATAACAGCTTTGACAAGATTCTCCCCCCCGCCCCCTGCAAAGTCTGACTTCACATGCTTCTATGAAATCTCGCTGCTTATTTCATTTTATTTTCAGGGTCAGGTTCTTCCCCTATGGCTGCGTGTTCCTAGTCAGGCAATGGAACCTCCACTCCAGTGAAGCTAGACGATAAACGGGCTGAAGCAGCTGAAACCCCTTCATTTCCTTCGGCTTACTGAAAGGACAGGAAGTGCCCATATGCATCAACTGAATAATCTTGTGCATTTTATGCGGGCAAGCCATAAAGATGACAATGCAGAAGTCACCTGGCCAGTCTAGCCCATTTGGCAGCTTATTCATCTAAGGATCTCACTGAGGCGTGAGCCAGGGCACATGGCTGGGCAGCTTGTTTCACACTCCCACAACCCTTTGGGTAAAGAAACGCGCCTTTTTCTTGGTCCTTTAACATAGCCCGGCAACAAGACGGCTGTGTCTTTGTACTCAGCACCTTAAAAAAGGGACAAGGAAAATAAAATAAATAAAAAAATGCATAGAAAACGCATGAGCCTGAATATAGATTTGCGAACAACGCTACCCCTGCAAGGTTACTTCAGCATAACTGGTAAATTAGCCCTCGACTATGCTGTATTCCTGCACATTCTCTAGCATAAAAGCTTTAAGCATCAATGTGCCCGATGCTTCAGTTTCCAGTGTGGCCCTCTGAACATCACCAAGGGGCGAGGGGGAGAGATGAACGGCTGCTCGCGCCCAGACCTGTGCTACCGTGACAGTGATTTATCACTGGAGCAGCTGGGCACACTGCCCTGCTTCTCCACCGCCTGGTCTGCAGCTCAACGCTGCCACACACAGGCCGTCTGGGGAACCGCAGCTCCCCTTGCACATTCTTCCCCAGGCGTCGGCTCATAAATCCCGAGACGGCTCTTAAGCGCTGTGCGAGGAGGTGTATTTCCAGCTCCAGCGCTGCAGGATGACATCATCCGAGTTTGTTTTTTTTTATGTGCAAGTTTAATAAAAAAAAAAAATCAATATCAGTTTAACCACTCGGATCGTTTTATTTTAGTTCAGCTCATGTTCACTCTTTCCCTCAGAACCACGCCCCAGCCCTGCTCAGACGGCACTGTCGCACTACAGAAAATAAGGGGGGGCTGAACCAACGGCTTGCTCAGCCGACACTGATGACCACTGTTGACCCAACCATATCAGCTGAATGCCGTCCCACGCTGAAAACAAAAAAAAGGTGCCTGTAGATCACAACACGTACAAATGTTGACAGACAATATATAGTGAGTTCCCTAATAATGATAAATTCGTCATGTTTTTAATTGGAAAAAGTGGAATCTCCTTCCCTGGAATCTGGTGGACCAGTGTGCTGCGTGAGTCTGTGGGCATAACAGCACTGCTGCCCTCCTCCCTTCTAACCTGGGCACTGGGCACCACTGGCAGAGACACTGAAACAGGAAAGGCAAGCATCCCCAGATCTCGAAAATCCCTGAGGGCTACTGGGAATTACATTTGACATCTGAACCCGACTTGTCAATAAATTACAACTAAAAAGAAAATCACCCCATCTCGAACCCCAATATTCCCCAAGTCCCCCCCACACACAAACCCACCTGCAGCCAACATGTCCCCTGACCCACCACATGAACTAAGCACAGGACAGAGAGGTGACACAAGGACACTTCTCACCCGTATAACCCTGCCCTGCTCAGAAGGGCTCTGGCATCAAGTCCCGGATTCCAAGGAGGAACACCGCGCACTGACAGTGTGGATTCTGACAAAGGTGTGACCAGCTTCCTTCCGCAGGTCCATCTCAGCGGATGCGAGGGATGCCAGCGGGTGTGCACTCATGCGTGGATGAGAGTGATGGCCACGCCAACACCCCACCCCCCGCCGTCGCCTCCAGTGGCGCAATCCACGCTGTCAATATCGGCATGTCTTCCCCGGGGGTGATGAAATGGGAGTGTCCGCGGTTCTGGCAGCCCCACCCACTCTGTGATGTCACAGGTGGGAGGAGCCTTGTGGCACATGTCCCTCCACTCAGGTGCGCCTGGTCTTCTGCCTCTTGACCAGGCGTTTGGCATCATCCAGGTTGGCACTGTCTCCACCGGCCTGAGCCGAGCCTCGGACCCCCTGCACCCGGCTCGCCAGCTGCAGCAGCAACGGGATAACCTGAAACCCAGAAGAGCACTCAGACTCCGCCACACCGTTCTGCACGATGCAAAACGAGCTGTCATACAAGCTAAGCTTGACAACAGTGTTTGCATCTGTGGATTCAATAGCCCAGACCACAAAACTCAAACCAATGGTGTTATGTATTGATTAGCACTATTGCACATTGATAAGAAAAACCCCCTGGTAAGAACAGTTAGATTCCAGAAGCAAGTGTAGGAGGGCATGATGATGCAAGTGGAGCCCTCACAGGAGCGCACAGTACTGCAGACACAGACTGGGCAGCTGGGCGAAGCAGCAGGGACAGGAGGGCGAGGGCAGGTGGGTACCTTCTCGTGATTGTAGGCGGCCAGCAGCAGGAGCAGCGTGAGGGGAAGGGCGATGTAGGACCCCTGGGCCACATCCTGGTCCGGCAACTTGCGCTGGAAAACACACCAACCGGATTAATATTCACACAGGCTGAATCACAACCCTCCCCACGGTCATGAAAACGCCTGCTCGCGGATCGAGACATAAAACGTCTGCCCTTCAGATCGCCAAAAGGCAAGGTCAGGTGTCTGGCGCTGTTTGCTTTTTCCTGTAAAAATCATGTCTTACCGCACGGGATTAAAAAACAAAAACAAAACTTGCTTTTGTCGTAAAATAATAACAATCTGGTGGAAAACCGTGCCCATGGGCATGGAGCAACAGCAAGGGTGCAGGAGTGGGACACTCACTGTGGGGGTGAAGGCCAGGGTGATGTGTTTGTGGTAGCCGGAGGAGCTGAAGGAGACCTGAGGCAGGGAAAAGTCGTACTGCGAGCGAGACAGCGTGGAGTCCAGCATCAGCACGTAGTTCTGGAACCACAAGAAGACAGGGGGCGTCAACAAACGTGGACAGAGAGCAGCGCCCCCGCCACCGACTTCCTCCCTGTCCGGGTCGAGACTGCATCACATCGGGTCAGAGCGCATTTCGTGACGCAAACATTTTTAATAACGGAACACGGTCAGAGCGCGGGGAAAAAAAAAAAAATTTAAATTAGATTGCACGGGCTCCCACAAGACAGGAGATTAATCTACCTGTAGTCTGCAAACAATGTACTACTGCCAAAAGCCAACAACGAAGTTATTGAAGTCGAAATCCCAAATCAAATCAGCTGTCACTCTCGCCATTAAGCGTCATGAGAATGCGATTACTTTTTATAATATATCCAGCTTCTGTGAACTGCAGGAATTTGACAAGACAGAATATTCCCTTGGTGCCGTCGGGCTCTGGAGTCGGGCGAACAGCCGCGTGGAAGAGGAGTCGGATTCTGCAGCTGGGATATACCGATTCAGCCCAGGCACCAGAGATGAAGCTGTCTTTAGGACAGCTGTGACTAATATCGGAGCACATATAGGTCCACTACTGAAACGAGGCTGATCTTTACAAAAACTGCTCGAAGTCGGAATTGGTAACAAAGGGAGCTGGAAGGAGTTTCCGGCGGCCAGCACCTCTCCGTCACGCAGCAGTGGGGGGAAGTGGAAGAACAGGGACTGGCCCAGGGAGACGGTGTGCACCGGGTTGTCCAGGTTGTCACTCTTGTACAGCTTCACCTGCGGGAGGGGCAGAGACGCACAGCTCAGAGGCTGGGCAGCACACAGTCCAGTCCAGCATGGACAGCGCACGGCTCCTGCAGGCCCTCAGGGCCAGTCACGTTGCACTGCTCAGATCCCTTTATGATAAGGGAATTGCGTCAATGTTGTGCCGTAGTCTTTCACTGTCGACTGCGGCCTTGTCTGCTAGACCGCTGTGGGAACAGGGCCACAGACGATTAAGGTACAATCGCTCATGCTGAGCGCCTGGGGGCCAGGTAGCAAAAGGAGGAGGGCCCCAAGTGGCTGACTGCCCAGCCCCCAGCATGCACAGCTTTTACAGCAAAGCCTCTCGGCAGCAGAGTCTTACCCAGAGCGTGGGCAGGAACTCCGGGGACGTGATCACATTCCCACTCAGATCAAACTGGTTGATCTGCCGGAAGGCGATGATGTTGATTCCTTCGATATCGCTGCTCTCCACCTGCAGACGGTTACACGGTTAGTCTCCACTCCCCCCCCCCACACACCGGCAATCAGCCACCGGTGTGAGACTGGGGTTAGCCAGCCGCCTGTACGGGAGCAACCCCCCCGCGCCCGCCTGCGACAAGGCCACACCAGCCATCACAGGCATCAATTTCAGAGCTGCCGAGAGATAACTGGTTTCAGGCTGGGTGCAGCCTTATCAGCCCCTCTGTTACACAGCCTCTTATTAGCTCTGTTTCTGTATCTAGGCCACCGTGTAGGTCGCCTGCGGCTTTCTGACAGGAGCCACCAGTGCTGTCTGTGCACATCAGACCTGTGCTGACCTGCAAGTGCCAGGCGATCCCAGGAGCTGTAACACAGGGCTCCCTTAACATCTCCATCACGGCATCCCATGACTATTCTCACGACAATGAACAAACATTACCGCTGACCCTCACAGCAGTCCGCTCTGCCACCTTTCTCAGTTTCTCAACCGCCACCAGAATTTAAGCCTCCTACTGACATATTATCACTTGAGAGGAGCGTCAGGGCTCCAATAATCCATGACCACATAGTGTTTGTTTAAGATCATTCCAGATTGTAAGGATTTATCTCCTTCCCCTGGCTTTCCAGGCCTGGCAATTAAGTTAGCGACTCCGGAGAAGGCACGGCGGGGACCGACCTTCACGTCCCGGTGTTGCGGCAGGGCCCTCTCGATGTGCTCGTTGCCTTCCGCCCTCAGCTGGATCTGGTACGTACACCCTGGCTGTCAAAGAGAAGAAAACCGGGCGTCAGCGGAGGAGTGCGACGCGTAGTCCACAGATTTGGTACGTGACGGCGCGCACCGGATGGAAAAAAACTACCTTCGTAGTGTTGGGTTCACTAAAAGTGAGTGCAATACCACAATGCAATGCAACTGAGCAAATTTCCCACAATGCTCCTGCACCAATGATATGACTGGCCAGTGTTCTGCGCTAGTATCTGCATCAGACCATCCACGATGCCGAACGCGCAGATGCAGGCGTGGCAGTGTGCCTTCGAGCGGGCGCTGTGCATCGGGGCGGCGTGTGTTTGCAGACGTACAGATGGCAGAGGCGTGTGCGTGAGGTGGGTGACGGGACTGCTCAGCTTGCAGTGAACTCACCAGCAGGCCCCGCAGCCTGAAGTGGCCCTCCTCGTCCGTCACGGTGTCCTCGCTGTACAGGCTGCACTCCCCCTGGCCCACCGCCTCCACCGCCACCCCCTGCTCCGCGTCGCCACTCAGGGACGACACGGTGCCATAGCAGCTAATGAGGTACAGAGGGGGTAAAACATCAAATAAGGGAGATGGAGAAATGGGTACAACCACAACCCTAGACTTCCTGTCCTGCCGTCAGCTCCACTGACCCCACACGCCCACTGCCCACCTGTAGGCGGTCTTGTAGCCGGTGATGACGATGCTGAGCGTCTGCCCCTCCTCCACCTCAATCATCTGGGACGCGGGTTCGAAGCGGTACTCCTTCATCATGGGCTTGAAGTAGTACTGGCCTGGGCTCTGAAGACAGTCAGGGGGTGGGAGAGAGAGAAATCACAGACGTGCCTCCGGCCGGCAAGGTAAGAGACTGTCCCTGTGACTGCTGAAGGACTAACGGTAATGTAGTCTGTCACGAGGGACTTGGTTTCCCAGTTACAATTCCCAGGTTAGAAGAATCCCAGCAAAATTTCAACAAAATATTTAAATACCCAGAGCTGGCATCTCTTGGATGGCTTTGAAATGAAGCTTGGACTAGTTAATGAACACTTACCCTAAAAACCACTGTGATAAATACTCACACCGTCTACCTGATCAAATCCCACTTTTCACAACAGCAGCTGGTTACACCAGATGTTAAGTGTTCAAAATCCTCAAAAGCACCGCGATGCTCCACCCGATACGACTTCTTCAGGATTTAACAGTGGCCCACAAACCAGAGGACGCAAAAGGAAAGTACGTGCATCTAAAGCTGAGGACAGGTGGAGCAATCACAAAGGACTGTACCAGACCCAGACATGCTCTTCAACATCACACCCTTGTTTTCCTTCAAGGAAGGGCTGTGGGAGAACCCTCAAATTATCAATTGCTATTAGAAACCAAACAAGTTAAATGTGCCAATGGCCCTCCTCTCATTCATCATGTTTTTGTGACGTGATGGAAGAGGGCTTTACCAGGTTGTTAAAGGTGAGGATTCCTGAGTCCTGCGTCAGCAAGTTGGAGCGGAACTGCCCCCCACTGAGAGAGAGCAGGACCCCCGAAAGAGGCTGTCTGTCCTCTGCTACGATCTGGAACAAAGAGAGCAGATCAAGGAGTCACCACAGCCAGTCATGAAAGGGCACCACGCTGCTTGGTTGGTAATTGGGACCCACAGCAGATACAATTCACATCTCGCTGAATAAGCGAAAAGTTGAATTACTGGTTATTTAAACACTCATTTATCAGAGGAGGTTGCAGAAATCAAATTTCACTGGATCAAATTTCAAGACCCAGTACAACACCACTTCAAATGTGACAGAACTGTTTGAACTTCAGTGTTTAGACATAGATCCGTTACGAAATAGAGGTATACATATGGGCTCTTTTGGATAGAACAAAGCTCATGACACAAAACAACTGTGACAACAAAGACTCTTTTGTCTTAAAAGAAAAGTAGTGTTTGAATGAAATGAACTGCCGGGCTCAAGGTTTCTTCTACATGCGGGTTCTCCGTGGTCTGTGAAAACTGCCCCCCCCCCGGCCCTATCCCAGCAGCCCCTACCTGGAAGGTGACCCCAGCGAGGGCGAAGGCCTTGAAGTCCCCCTGTGTGGCCTCCACCGGCGTCAGGACAAAGCCCTCCTTGCTGGCTGCTATGTCGTATTCCAGGTCACTGTGCAGGGGCCCCACACTGAGAGGGATGGACAAAAAAAAAGGTTGTTTGCACAACTGTAAAAAAAAAAAAAACTTGTCAGTCCTGTTGGGGAAAAGCAGAACACACTCTTTCGGTGAGAAACTGCCTTTGTGCAGCCTGTGTTTAGAGCCCAACAGATGCCCTGATGATATCTGCCAGGTTCTGTGGAGCCACAGGTAGTTACGCAGGTAGCCATGGCGTGAAGGTGGGGGGAGACAGCAAGTCTCACCTGTAGGTTCCCCCCTCGTTGGTTGCCACGGTGATGAGCGGCGAGCTGGCCCCGCGCTCGGTGATGGTGATCTCCACGCCCTCCAGCTCCGGGTGGATCTGCCCCTCCAGGAACAAGCCAGCCCTCCCCTCAATCTCCACCAGTCTGCCCGGGCAGCTCTCTGCCATCACAACACAGAGACGGGACAGCACACCTCTACATCAATCCTGCAGGGGCACCGAAGCTCTTCTTGCAGCGAGCTCTCGGGTGCAAGAACATTTTCTCACACACATAGACAGACACTACACAGGCACAGGCTGGACCTCTGACCTCCAGTGACAGTGGCCTCCACCTCCGGGGGATAGAACAGCAGCTCCTTGGAGGAGGGCGTGACTGTGATCTTCTCCCCAGCTCTGAGAACGGCACGCGCGAGAAAGACGGATTAACCGGACGAAAGAGAACCGCTCGCCCCCGACCAAAAAAACACGTACTCCTCTCAGGTGAGAATAAGATGAAAACACTAATGACCCAAATCTCGACGTAGAGGCAAATTAACATTAAAGCGGCGGGTTCAAGCCCGAGTCATGTCACGGAGCTGGGAGCCAAGACATTAGAAGCCCAAATCGGTATTGCGAAAATAATACCTGGTATTATAAATTAAATAAAAAGTAATATAAAAAAATTGAATGTGTGAGCTACAGAGAATATTACTTGCCTCCAACCCCTTATTAAGATAAGATCACTTTATTAGCCATATACAATTTATTGCATTAGGAATTTGTGTCTTTTCGCATACCCCAGCTTGCTCTCCATGAGACACAGAGACAGGGAGAGAAGCCCCCAGAGACGCCCCCAGGTCAGAGCACAAGGTCAGCCATTTATACGGCACCCCTGGAGCAGTTGGGGTGAAGGGCCTTGCTCAGGGGCCCAACGGACCAGGATTCCTCTGCCGGCTGTGGGATTTGAACCGGCAACCTTCCAGCCACAGGCGCAGATCCTTAGCCACAGAGCCACTGCTCCGCCCCTTACTTAAGTCTGATCGTATCTTCCACAAAGAATGAGCTGAAAAGTACCTGGCCCAGTAGGAGAACTCGTAGGTGAAGGGCCCCCGCAGGTCCTCGGCTCTCTCCTGAACGGGAGGGCTCTCCTTCCCCTCCCCCTCGCCCCTCCTCTCCCTCTCCTGTCGCCGCAGCTCGATCTCCTGCAGCTGCTGCTCCTGCCGCTGCTCCTGTAGGGAGCGCAGGGGTCCCAGAACCAGGGCCGGCTCGCTCTCGATAGAGGACCTGAGGGGACAGCGCGCGGTCACAGACGCAGCTCCAGGCTCTGCTGGATCAATCTGGGACAGCTGTAGGTTCTTACAAACAGTGAACCACGGGGCACAAGAGGGATCTGCCTGGATGCGATTTAAAACCAAGAACAACATACTCTTGTGAGAGTCTGGAACAAGCTACCCGACCGCGTTGTTGAAAACACTACCCTGGCTTCTTTCAAGAAGTGTCTGGATGAGATCATGGGATCTCATCTACTAACCACCAGGCGCAAACTGGATGGGATGAATGGCCTCCTCTCATTTGCAGCGGATCTAATAATAACAATTGCTTACACTTGTGTAGCGCCTTTTCTGGACACTCCACTTAAAGCACTTTACAGGTAATGGGGACTCCCCTACACCACCACCAGTGTGTAGCCCCCACCTGGATGATGCAATGGCAGCCATAGCGTGCCAGAACGCTCCCCACACACCAGCTCTCAGTGGGGAGGAGAGCAGAGTAATGAAGCCAGTTCATGGAGGGGGATTGTTAGGAGGCCATGATTGATAAGGGCCAATGGGAAATGTTTGGCCAGGACGCCGGGGTTACACCCCTACTCTTTTCGTGACACTGCGATTTCTAATGACCACAGAGAGTCAGGACCTCAGTTTTATATCTCATCCAAAGGACGGAGCCTTTTTACTGTACAGTGCCCCGCCACTATACTGGGGGATTAGGACCCACACAGACCGCAGGGTGAGCGCCCCCTACTGGCCCCATTAACACCTCTTCCAGCAGCAGTTTTTCCCAGGAGGTCTCCCATCCCGGTACTGACCAGGCTCACACCTGCTGAGCTTCAGTGGGCTGCCAGTTCTGAGTTGCAGGGTGGTATGGCTGCTGGCTATATGTTCTTTAACGTCAACTTGCAAACAGAACACTACAAAGGGGACTAGTGCAGTTAACCCCTTGAGCTCCAGAGAAGGTCAGCTGGGCTCCGGACACACTGGACTGGGGGGGGGGTTCACTCACTTGATGGTGATGGTGACGTCCAGGAGCTTGTCCGTGGTGATCAGCCCGGTCACATGGTGTCTCACTGCTGTCAGGGTTAGGATGCTTGGCGCCATCCTGGAACACACAGCTGACCATTAATGAAACAGATCTCATCTGATAAAGGACCTAACCAGATACTATGCAAGACGAAGATATGACAGACAAACAACATTCCAGATCCACGTGGTTCAACTGCATTTTGGTCCCCTCCTTAATAAATCCATTTGATGATGATGACAAAGCTCGAATTTTCAAACTGCACAGTCTGATCAAGTTTTGTAAAGAAAGCAATAAGCCTATATTTGTTCTGCATTGTTTGCTCGCTTCTAGATGGCTGTGGAGAAGGAAGCTCACGTGTCGTAGGTGTAGTAGTCCTGCTCGAACTGGTGGCAGGACCGGGGAGTCACCTTGTACACACCTGGAGAAATAAAGGGGTTCAGAGAACGAACAAAGTCATACCACAAGCCCAAGGCAAGTCTAAACAGCATGAGCTTTCACTGAAGGTTGCCAACAAAGGATGTACAGAAATCTAAATGAGTAGTGAAACAGAAATGACTCATGTTCAAGGATGATTAGAGGCGTGGGACATTATGTTGAATCAGTTCAGTTCTATTCACACTGACCCAGAGAGGTCATTCATCCACTTTGAGCTAGAAAGCTGAATGGGCTTCCACCCTAAATAGGTAAATACAAGAGACTTCTGTCTATGAAAGACTAATCACATGTGTTTGTGCCCGCGAGCTTGGTTTTCAAACACGATGAAGCAGTAACGAGTCAACGCCGGGCTAGCATCTCCTTATAGGAACATGAGCAGGGCTGTACCTGGCTTAGACAGGCAGAAGCGGTTGATACCCTTGGACAGGTTATAGACGCCCACATTCTCAGGCTTGGTGCCATCCTGGTAGAACTCCTGAAACAGAGAAGCAGATCGAGGGAGCTGAGCCACAGGGGGTCAGCAAAGAGGCTCTCATCACCAGCAGCGAGCAGACTGGGGTTACAATCTCCACAGGGAATCTGCAACAGAAGCCCGGCCTATACTCTCCCGCTGTATCTGGCAGAGGAGCCCTTTTGGTGTCGCACAGGAAATCCCCACAAGAAGACTCTACAGCCAGGCGGGAGAGAGGGGCACCCTGTCATACTGACCAGCGTAATGGCGTGGGACAGCGAGCAGCGCAGCATGTACCCCGTCTGTCTGAACTCCACGCCCAGCACGTCGGACAGCACCACCTCCGCCTCCACCGACTTCTGCTTCCAGCACCACTCCTCGTGAGCGATGCTCACTGACGGGGGGGGAGAGAGAGAGAACGGAACAGTGCGACAGTGCGCCGGGCGGGACTCCCGCGTGTCATGTGAGACGCCCGCTCCGCGGGGGGACCAGCGCGGCGGGCTCACCTTTGTACTTCCCCGGCAGGACGCCTTCGAAGGAGAAGGGCGCGACCTCCGCCCCGCTGGACACCTGCACGCTCTGCTTCTCCCCCTGCCGGCTCACAGGCTGCAGGGTCACGGCCAGGTCACCGCAGGCCGCTGAGGGACACACGGGTGCACACTTACATTCACAGGACGAAAGAAAACACAGTATGGGCGGCAAAAACTAGCAACTACCAAACTGCGTCAACATCCTCAGCAGGGTCTGTTAAAAAAAAACAGACACCAGGACTGAGGAGGCCAGTGGACAGAGTTTCTCCAAGCTTTCCGTTCTTCCTTTATAGTTTTCAATATATTAATCCGGTCATTTTCTGAAAGCTAGGAGGAAGGCTGCGAGCAGAGCTGTCCATTTCTGGAGCAGGAAGAGCTCATAGAAGAGCAAACAAACGCACCTGCTGCCCGGCCTCATCCCCGCACCGGCAGACTCACCCAGGCAGGTCACCTTCCCAGACACAGAGGCCATGAACTGGGTGAAGCGCAGGTTGGACAGGGGCTGGTCCAAGAGGGAGACGTCCAGGGACTGGGGCTGGAGAGCCAGGCCAGCCTTCAGCTCCGACTCCGGGACGGACACCTGCAGAGAGACGGGGGGGAGTGACTGAGAGGGAGGCGGGAGAGCCCCACGCGGTTCAGCGCGGCAGGAAATAACTTGATCGCTTCAGCTTACGCCCTTGGTCCTCTTGGTTGATTATAATACCAGTCACGTGGTCTCTTCAAAAAACGACTTTTTGCACAACAGCCACAAGATGATGAAACAAAATCATAAAAAGGAGTACGAGGAGAAGAATGACCAGTTAAGCTCCTTCAGGACAGATGGGGGAGAGGGATTCCACTGGTGAGAGAGCAATGGAGGAAGAGAGATGACTGGACTACCTGGATGCTGTAATCCCCAGGCTTGGCTTGGAAGCAGAACGCCCCCCGGTGGTCAGATTCAGTAGTGCGGGCACTGCTCTTGTCTTTGCCCTGGGGGACAAGAGTAACCTTGTAGCGCCCCTGTTGTTTCACACCTTCTGGCAGACGGGTGATGGAGATGTGCCCACACACACTAAACCTGCAGAGAGGCAGAGCCCAGTCAGAGCACCAGGTGATGGACACAACACCCCCCCCCAGCACAAAGTTTCCCCATCAAACAGACTGATAGCCCACATGAGACTCTGGAACGGACACTGACAGCTTGTGGCGTTTCCTCCTGGACAGCTCCAGTCCTCAGAAGGCAAGCCATGCTAGGAACACCAACCTGGCAACACACTGATGAAACTCAACGTGTCGGATAAGATCTCTTACCAGGCAGACTTGGTAACGCTTTCTTGTCCTGCACCAAAAAACAAATGCTGCCATGTTTGCAGGGTGCTCCTACAGTGTACAGGGTGCTCTGTCTGTAAATCCTGTGACAGGGCTCTCGGCAGTAGGCGGTCAGTCCGGGATCCTCACCCTGCAGTGATGATGTCGGGGAGCTGAGGCGTGCTGGGGGCGATCTTCACCGTGATGGGCTCAAAGAACATGCGCTCCTTCTGGGCGCGGATGGTGTAGGTACCGGCAGTCATGTTCTCCAGGCGGAAAGAGCCGTCCTGCTTCGTCAGCACTGGAGCAAAGGGAGAGCTGTGTTAACAGACCGGCTGTCAAAACTGTCAAAAACACCATGAACTACTCTTGTCTGGTTCCACATCCATCCAGATGCATAGGATGAAGCGAACAGAAATCAGAGAGTCTTACTCACCCTTGATCTGGTTGTTCAGAGTGACGGTGGCGTCGGGCACACCAGCCCCCGTTGGACTGTTCAGGACTCGGCCCATCACGGAGAAGCCCATCACCCGGAACACGGGCTGGAAGCAGAACCGGAACCTCCTTTATTTGCCAGGCACCAATTCAAGCCCAAGCAATTTGCTCTGTTGCATGTGGTGCTGCAGAGGCGTTCCGCATATACCACACACGGGCAAGACCACGGACGTCATGAAGACGGCACACACACAACCAGGAATTCTGGCTCAGCCCAAAGGAAGGAAGCTGTTCAAGTACCAAGTGGTTCTGGTTTTAAGCAGAAGGTAATGAAACAGGTGAGAAGGGTCATCAGCAGTCTTGCCTGCCTGTTTGCCCTGGAGTTGTAAATCTAGCTAAACACACAGCGCCTGCACCGGTTAGCAAAACACCAGGCCACTGTTCCAGAGCCAAGCAGGCTGCTCTGCTCACTCAGACTCCCACGATTTCTTTATGCTCATACTGGTACTCGAGTTCTTCAGTTGTAATACCGTAACAGTCAAGACAAGACAAGACCTCCTGCAAGAGCCTGAGTCCTAAAGTAGTTAAAAAAAAACCCCACAACACCTCCAGTTTCAAGCTGTTGTGTGCCACTGTGAAATCCATTCGGGCAGGAGCAACGTCGAAGGTGATTCTCTCTCCTCTGTAGAAAGGGATCTGAAAACCAGCACAGAGCAGTACATCACAAGCCAGAACAGGATGATGGGAAACAATGCAGCCACTGCATAAGGAAAGCATACGCACTGTCGTATGGATGGAGTGAGCTCTATATTTCCTCTTGATAAACTGGATTATCATAGTAGAGTCATAGAAATCTTTATCTTCACTCTTTGTTTACACACAAGTATATTTACAACTAATAAAGAAATTAACCATGTGCTGCTATGCTATAGAATTGGGTTAAATGAGTGCAAAGTCAGGATCCAAGAGTGCATGAGCAGTCCAGACCGCAGGAATAAAGTTATGAAGGTCTAATCTACAGACAAGTTCGGAAACCTCCAATGAAACACAGGGCAGCCAGACCACACGGTGTCTTACCACGGTGTAATCTCCGCTAGCCAGACAGGGGAAGACGAAGGTGCCATCATCCCGGGACAGCATACTGCACAGGTAGGACAGGCTCTCGCCCCCTGAGGGTGCCCCCTCAACTGCAGACAGGCTGCACCCCGAAATATCCTGGGACACAAAGCACAGCCCTCAGAGTGGGTAACAGAGCAGGCACCAAGCACACATGGAAATCGACATCATAAGGTCTACTAGGGAAACGTTAACTTCAATCAACTGGGAAACACAGGAGTTTTTAGTGTATAAAAGGCTTTAATCCCTAGAGCACAACACCTGGGGATTATCTGCAACAATGAAAACATTGTCTATTAGTCAAAAACTCATGCTATGTGACAACGGTATCCGTTTTATTTTAATGTGTACTGTTAAAAAGGAGATTTTCTGGCATGTCCCTATGATTTTTTTTAACAATAATGGGATTCAAATTGAGTTTCTTACCTCTTTCTTGACACTGTCTGAGAACAGCAGGAATGTGACCTCCTTCATGGGTTCCCCATCGCTGCGCACTGCCCCCGACACATCGTAACCCCTCACAACCAGAGGTGCTGCAGCCTGGGCATTGGAGTTGGATACCCGAACTGTCGTGGTGCCCTGTTGGGGAGAGGGAGGAGCTGCATGCTGAGCCACACCTCTTTGAGGATGCACCCTCTTGGTGCCACACCCCCTTTAGGTGCCACACCCCCTCTAAACCACACCCCCTTTGTGACCCAGCCACCAGGGGACCACGCCTCCTTGGTGGCTGACTGAAATGTTGGCAATCTCCAGTCTAACTACAATCCTGTAGTAGACATCACACTTAATCTTTGATGCATTTATTAGAATTCATAGAAAACCCATTACAGGAAATGTAATTCTTCAGTAATTACTACTCAACACTTCAATTAAGCCTTCAGACTGACAATAGTGAGTCTCTATTTAACTCCCCAGTAAAAATCATTACCATGAAAAGAAACTCATAAGACTTTTTGCTTAACAGATACTGTTACTTCACACCAAGGTGATCCTTGGCCAGGACAAAGAGACCCCACTGCAGCCCAGGACCCACCTGCTGGAGATGCCAGGATGGATGGGATGCAACAATGTCATAACTGCCAGGCAGCACTTTGGAGAAGGTGTACCTGTGAGAGGAAGAAAGAAAGACTGTGAAAGAGACCACGTCGCGAAACAACACACCGCAGATCCAGTCCACAACCCATCCACGCCGCTTGCTTCAGCTCTGATTAGTATAGCAATCACCAGCCATGTCAGGCGAGCGAACCTTGTCACCTTGTCACATGATGGCTTATCTGCACCTGCGAACTGCTTGTAATGTCAAGTTTGTGTACAAGTGTGATACTGAACAGCAAGATCGCCTGCAACATTAATGCAAATACCTTGTGCATTCCGCACCACTTGCACATAAAAGCTCAGTATCTGCTTCTGTAAGAGAGTCTACCGTTCCAGTTGTACATCTTACACTTCCTCTTTCATATGATGATTGAAGCCTTCTTAATACACTGGACCCAACAGCTGACGTGCTTTCATTTTAAAGTCTCATGACTCGCAGAACGAACGAATGAATTCGTGTGGAATGACAGAGACGTTCGGGGAAACCTCAGCAGGTGCGTCAGACTGACTTACTTCCCCTCCGGCTGGGTGTGGGCGGTCTGCAGGTCTGCCTCTTCCCCTGCCCTGCGCAGACCCACCTGCACGGCCGCCGGCCCCGACTGCTGCCCTTTACTCAGCACCTGGAGGGTGGGTGGCACAGGCGGGAAATAAACACCCCCTCTCGCGGCAGGTACGCAGGATCAAGCACAGGGCGAGCGTGGCGGAAAAGACGGAGACGTCCGCGGGACATATTTCCGAGCTCGGCTCGGTCAGACACCTTCATGTGGGTGTTTATGCGTGAGGCGGGGGACATCTCACCATCCCCGAGACAGAGAAGCCAGTGAAGACGAAGTTGATGTCTTCTCCCTTGGTGCAGATGTCCGTCACTCCGTCCACATGGAGCTCCACACTGTTGGGCTCTGCAGAGAGAGTCAAAAGGTCAGGGAAGACAGACCTGAAACACACCCAACTTCGGCCCAAACCTTACTGCCCCAGCTCTCACTGTGATCTTACAGGTGATAAGACCCTGGTCTCACATGCATCAAGAGAATGAGAAAACGGAAACGAGTGCATCACCTACCGAAGCTCCAGCCAACAGGAGGCTCAATCTTCAGGACAAAGTCACCCTGTAGAGAATCACAAAGGAGGAAAATAGTCCAGAAAAGGTCAATTTAATTACAAAAAATGTGCTGTAAGAACATGAGAAAAGTTACAAACTAAAGGAGACGTTCAGCCCATGTAGCTCATCTGACCGTCAGTAACTTATTGACCCCAGGATCTCAGCCAACTGTTTCCTGGTTTCCTGAAAGCTGCCAGGCTATCAGCTTCAACACAGTTGGGCATCTTGTTCCACCTGCCACCACCCATAACCTCAACACTATAGCCTGAGAAGACAAGGGGACAGTGTATCTCATGACAACACAAATACAATTTATTTAATATACACTAATGCTGTATATTACCTTAGATGTACTGTTAATTTTGGTGTAGCCTTTTAAGACACTACACTAGATCTCCTGCTTTGGCCTATATCGCAGGGGCGGCCAACAGGAAGTCTGCTACACCTGACCATGGGACTGGTCCCCCGTCTCACCTTGTCATAGAGGGGGATCATGAAGTAGCCGTTGATGGGAGCACAGTCCGTCTGGTACTTCAGAGAGCCCTGCTTGGTGTACAACTTGATCTGCAGGAAAAAAATGACAAGATCATCCGAATTCAAAAGATATTAATTCGGAAAACACCGGAATAAGGCACCAGACTGTGGTAATGTTTGTTTATGCAAGCAATGCCCAGGATACGATTTGGTCTGCACTTTTTTTTTAAGAACAAAAGAAAAGTGTTGCAGGATTTCAAGAAGAATGAGATAGAATGTGGATCTAAAAGCAAGTGCAGATTTTTTTTGCACAGTGTATAAATTGTTAATTTTACTCCGTGGCACTCTGAGTGAACAGTATGCACTAAACGCTAGCTCAGTGCCCCCCTGAACTGACAAGAAAACACCACCACAGCCTTTCTGAGCCCCTTCATAATCCTATTACCCTGGTGCATGCCTGCCTCTGTCAGCATGCAGGGGTTTAGGGGAAGTACTCAAAGAAAAGAACAGGGGTTAAGGAAAATTAAGAATACCTGCCACCATAAAAGAAGAAACGCATGCTAAACAACAAAAACATCGCGATTTGAATGATCCTCATCAGTTCGTGGAAGAGGATCCGTTTATACAATGAAGTTATGCACCACAGCAGAGAGCTTTTAGGACTGCCCTGAAAAGGCACGGGCAGAGAGTCTCTCTAAATTAGTTTCGTGAAAACAAAACACTAAAACGATGATTCGCACATATCAGTTGATGAAATCGGCACAAGCTGCCATTTGCTGAATTGCGAAGTTAGACGGCGCCCTGCACAACTCGAGACCCGAGTCTACCCTCGACGTAGCGTAACTGACGGTTATTGCGAAACTCGATATCAACTACAACCTCTGACACTACCGATCAAATGATCAAATTGACGGGGGAGAAAAAGAGAAAAAATCCACTAAAACCAAGCAAATACTGATATGGCAACTTTCATCCAAAGGTGTTGCACCAAAATACAAACAGGACAAAGAATAGGTAAATACGAGCTTGTATTTTAGACAACGCAGATTAAGTTAAGACACCAACACAGCTGACGTTTCACTATTTTTCGTCATGTCATGTCTCTTTAAATGCATATGGCAGAGAAATCTTCCTCTGGGCGTTGAAAGCAGATGATCGGCTCCCCACTCTCCACCGTGACCCAAAGACTACCTCGATCAGGGAGTAGTTGATCTCCACGTCCGACTTCACGAACCCTCCGCAGCCCACCACGATATCTTCAGCCCTGGCGACAGCAAGCTGGGAGACCAGGAAGACATAAAACGCCCACCGCACAGCCATCGCTACAATCCAAGATGAAACCCTGCCCCTAGATATAACCTCAATACCCTCCTAGCCCGCACAGCTCGGACCCTCGGTCAAACCAGCACGCTGCTGCCGGTTCCGGCCTGGGGACTAACGATAGAATGAATCAGGGTTCCGCCGGCGAGATCACCATTTTGTCATTAGCGGCACCTACAGGCGAGGAGGACACACTGCACGCAAGCTCCACTACTCCAGCCTGCGAGCTCGGAGAAAAGGTGGAGGTGTAGCTTGTTTAATCAATGTTTCGCCCCCGTCGTCCTGACAGCAAAGTCTGATTGGAAGGAATCTATGCCTGTTTATGACTGACGTCTGCTCCGGTGCTGAAAAGTGTTTGCTGGGCAACACCTAGATACAATGCATACAGCTGAAAGCCTACTCGAGGCAATGTGCCAAGGCATTCACGCAATCATCAGTACCGTGGCACAGGGTCTCTACAATTTTCGGGGGGTTCCGAGACAAAAGAGAAAAAAATGCCTCTGTCTTCAAATGACGTCACCAATGCTGTTGCCCAAAGACTGTGAGTAGACAGATATTTTGTGGAAAGTGGAATATTCAAATGAAGTCTTTTTGCATGACTGTTTGAAATACATGATCTTCCTGCTGCATCCTTAATAGAAAGTATTATGCGGAGGTGGAGAGGAGGGAAGATGGGTTTGACCTCTCACCTGTGGAGCCCCGCGCCCTCACAAAGGTAAGGCTGTGTGTGACAGAGGAGTGTGTCTGTGAGGGGGGGAGAGAGGGCAGTGAGACCGTCCTGGGATGGCAGCCAGGATGAAGACAGTCTTGGTGCCTCCTTCATCAGTCCTGGATATGCAGATCCTCAGATTATTCTTATCTTGATATTGAATGTGGTGACGAACAACGTGATATCCTGTTCAAAATCTGATCCTTCTAAGGCCAGACAGATGGTCCTCCTCACATGTTAGCTCTGGCTCTGCAGGTATTCTTGTCCCGGCAAGACATTTTGGGAGTAACATCTGCAATTTTCTTTTTCTCTCTGCATTCCTTGGACACAATGTCTTGTTTGCAGCACCCCCTGCTGGGCCCCGGGTTGCTGCACGACCGCAGCCTGAAGCACTACTTCAGCGAGGTGGGGGTCAGGGCGGCGCTGCAGCTGCGCGGACAGACGGCGGGATCGGCCAGGCGGAGCCAGCCCGAGCCGAGCCCCCCCCGTCAGCTCACGGTCACTCGCCACATCCGCAGACACATGAGGAAGACCGCGTTCTCTGTAAGCCTCCGCGATTACACCTCCCAGCTGGCTGCTGACTGCCGCCTGCGTCATGTCTACTGTACGCAAGCGGTCTGGAGCCTGTTCCACCTTTTTCCTTAAACAAAAACTATTGTTTTTACTTCCATATAGGAGCATCACGGAGAACCACCTTACTTCCTCCTAAATTTGTCATTCAAATATGGTATTTTGGCTCAGTTTTTAGATAGAGTTAAAATTGCATTCTATTTGATAATGGGAGGCAAACCAGCACAATGACAAGTTCTTCGTAAAACTTTAACTGCTTATATGCTATTGAAATAGCTTTTTGTAAATGAAATACATTAACAAAGTGACACGATTGTAATAATAACCAAACTCTATTTGAACTGGTACATTAGTGTAGTGTTAGTCAAACCCTAATCCAGGCTATAGATTGAACCACATCCTTAACCCAGGGGTAATTTGCAGAAAGCAGTTTGTACTTTATAAATGTACTGTATCAATGGCTGGATCCATTAACGGAGTGTAATTCTTCAACCCCTAAACTACAGCATGGCTAAGTTGTTTTAACATTCGTGTCACAGCTGCTTCTCTATATGTCCCATTAGCAAGCCGCTGTCCCCAGGGAGCAGGATTTCAGATACTACAGCAGACCCAGCATCAACAGGTACGAGGCAAGAAACGTTCTTTGGTTGTTTTTCTGGAGTCGACGCGCTTTTTCCAAGCGCTCGAAAAATGACAGATGGCATTTTTCAATACAATTTAACTAGATGGTAAACATTAGCAGTAGTATTGTCATTTTGAATAAGTCACCCAGGTTGCAAACATTTCTTTGTGGGAGTGTCTTTACCTCACTGTATGACTGACACTTTCCTTTGTTTTAGAGCCCCATGCTATTGGCCAGAGCCCATGCCAATCTACCGGCGTGTCCCTCCCCCCTACATCACTAGGGGAGAGCTTGTGCGTCTCGTCTCCTCTGCATCCAGACTCATAGTGGCCACGGTGAGAGTCAATGGCATTACACAATTTCTTCTCCACACCAGGACTTAAAGGAAAATCTGTGAAATAAGTGGACATAGCAGACTGAGGACTGAAGCTTGGGTGCACTTTGTGATGTCACATCACGAACAGGTCTTAATAAAGCAGTCAGGTCACGAGAGTCGATTTACTGGGAGTCTTCCATAGCAGTTGTGGTAGAGATGTGGGAGCTGCATGTTTTACCCAGTTGGATAAACACTACCAGTGTTTCCTCCTTCGTGTTAGCAGGCTTCCCTTTGTCCTTTCTGTATACACCGTTGCCAGCTGAACTCTGACCCCCACCTCTTTTCTCTTGCCTTCACCACTCCAGGAGGCAGTACAGCTAGCTCCCGAACTGCAAGATGCTTCCAGAGCCACAGCCAACAGTTGTCAGTCAAAGGTTTGTACAGTTCTCTCAGTGTAAAAGGAGAGAAAAAAACGAGAATGCGTCTTCTTTTCAGCCTAGTCTCACAAAAAAGCACAGAAATGACCACTGTCTTATTCACTTTGAAGGGATAAGGAGTTTCCTCCTTCATTTGAGCTAAGAGGCTCAAACCCAGCTGTACATTGTCTTGGCTACTGTGCACCATGACCTTGTGATTCCCCAGCAACAGCAGTGAGCTGAACCCTCTGTCTTCCTTCTCTTCCAGAATCACATCTCTCTGCCACGCATACAATATGCAGGTGGTGAGTATTCCCTTCCATCAGTCCTCATGAAAGTACTATACAGAGAGAGACCACCAAAATACCATTGCAGTGTCAAGTACCATGTTTAAAATTGACGTGCTCTCTTACCAAGATGCTGCTAAGCATAAAACACAATTAACTCAAACTTCAATTGAATTCCTGAATCAGGCCTCAAGAAATGAGATATCAGTTCTTCATTCATTATCCAATCCATTAGCTCTTAATCATTTAACTGCTCCTTTCTCTGATCTGGCCAAGAATGCTTCCAGGCAAAACTCCCACAGTATACCTGAAGAAGGCTCCGCAGGCGAAATGTTGTGTTTCCTTTCTTTTCTTTTCAGCATGGAATAAACCCGTTACCTGTTCCTCCCACAGTATATGTGTTAACTCTGCTTCTAATTGTCCAGCTCCAGCTTTTCTGTGTTCCCCCACCTCCCAGACAGGCTTTCCCCCTGCTCTTCTGCTCTTCAGCCCCCAGGTCCTGATTACTTAGCTGCTGTGTCCCATCCACATTACAGAGAACAAGAAGAACCACAAGAAATTGTGGGTGAAGAGTGGTGATGCAGTCATGCCCGGTGACAGGACATTGCCTCAAAAGCCAGAAAGCTCAGTTTCCACAAGGGGACTTTGTGAAAGAGGGAGGAGGAACAGCAGTGGAACACACAGGAAAAAACTGACTTTATCACATGAAAGACCAACCATCAGCAAGAGCGCGTCAGGCCAGGGGAGGAAATCAGACGCTGATACCTCCTCCCAGTCTGGTAATTCCCAGAAGAAGGGTCCAGATTGTGTCAAGGGGGAGAGAAAGACAGCGACTGAGAGCGCAGCAGGGAGAGAGGGGGATGAAATTCAGGGAGTGAGGGTTTCCACAGGGATGGATCTCCCACTGGAAGAAGTGGCAGACAGGTGTTTGTCGGGAAGCTGCAGGGGAACCGGAGAAGTCAGAGGAAAGGAGGACCAAGCTGAAACCACAGAGCAGGACCTACATGTGGTGGAAAGTGTACGGGGCTATAATGCAGAAAGTAGTTTTTCCCTGGGGCAAATGAGAGATCAATGCTCTCCTGCAGATGATGGCAAGAAAGACGGGGAAAGTCTCTTTGTTTTGGAAAAGGGGGGAAATACTGCCCCCTTCATGAGATTCCAGGCTTTACCTGAAGGGGAGAATGAATCAAATCTGACAGGACAGCCAGGGAATATGGGAAGTGACCCTGGGCAGGGGAGAATATTCACACCTACATTCCTCTCCCATTGTAACTCAGAGGACAGAGCGTGGGCCAGCACAGAAGATGTACCTCAGAGACCCTCTCTCCTGAGCAGATGTCTGGCCTTGTCTGGTGACACCGACACGAGCACGAGCCAGTCACTCTCGGATGAAGAAGGTGCAGAGGTGCCCAGTCCTCATTCTGGGAGGCAGAGGAAAGACGCAGCTCATGGACATGCAGCAGTCGTCCCTGGAGATGAGGAAGATGAGACAAAAGTAACGGGAAAGAGTGTTCCTGTCATACTCTCTGGGATTTCTGTGGAACGCAATGATAGCACCCAGTCTTCGGAAGAGGCAATCTTTGACTTTGAGAACCTGACTCCCTCTTTGGATCAGAATGAGAATTTGCTAAAAAATATGGTGGGTAACCACAGCCATGACAACCTTTCACCTCAACAGAACCAAAGAGATGAAATGCCACACAGAGAAGAGGGAATCTTGAATCTTCCTGTGACTCACAAGGATCAGACTATTCTAGGATCAAGCAAGCAAAATATTGTCCACATTGACAATAATCCCATGTCATGCCTCAGTGATAAGAACCAAGAGATGAACAACCACCCTGGTGAGCTTGATCTGGACCTCGATGAAGAGAACTTTCCCCCTTTCTCCCCAGAAGAGTTTCTGAATCCCCCCTCACTTAGGGCCAGTCCCAGGGACACAGATACCATGGACATCCTGCTGAGCGACACCAGATCTGTGCTTTCTGATGTGTCAGATACAGGACTATTGTCAAAAGAAGACAAAGACCCATCTGTCATGGAGACCTGTTCACCCTGAAGGTTTCCTCTGCCAATTCTCAGTTCTCTCCCCTTTAAGATAGCCCACTTGAATGATGCTTTGCAACACCATTTGGATCATAATTTCACATGCTGGACTTTTAGAGGCAAAGAGTCGAATGCAGAATCACAGAATATCACTCCTCAAATCAATAATCTCTTAACTGTATGGTGCACACTATCCTTCATTTTCGAAATAGTTTCTTGTCTATTGTCAAGTTTCCTGTGTGAAGATAACGTGAACAACAATCTTTTTCTATTAAAATGATTCTTTGATTGCACATTAAATGAAAGCTACAATAAAATGCACTTCAAAACAACTTTTTTACCCCTTGCTCATTTAAAAAACACACCTTTTATAACCTGTAACACTGTCAGTTATTCAACTGATGGTAAGAAGAAAGCACACAAAATCTCAAGTGTTTCTAAATTATTAGAAAATATTTATTTAAATATATTGCAGTGAACACAAATCCAATGTTGTTAAAATATTCCCCATTACCAGTTATTGCTTTCTACAAAATGACTGTTACTATACATGCAAGCTTTGGTGGTTATTCAAGAAAATCATGAGAGTAGCCTTTTAATAAATAGCTATTTATATTGCATACAGTAAGTATAAAAATATTACTTAGGTCCGTAATGTCTCCAAAATACATCCCTTTTGACTGAGCTTTGTGTGACAGTCTATGTGCTTATTACTGGAAATATCTGAGATCTAGCAAAAAAAGAAGAAATAAAGGCTATCCAAATTCCCGAGAAGGAGGAATACACAACCTGAGTTTGGAAATACTGAATCTTTAACAAGTGATAGATCTCAAGCCAACATGAGAACCTAATGAAGGTAAGAGCAAAGAGGCTGCTTCTCATGCTGATAGTAGTTCATCAACCTAAGAAACACACCCAGCAACGTCTATAGTACTTCCTGTGGTGACAGAAGAGAAGAAAGGATTTGAATACAAGCAACTAGGAAACAAACTTTCTTTTTATAACAAACTTATGTTCTGTTTTTAATCACTGTTGTGGTTGAAAGTGAAGCTTCTGATGAGCACTCTGGTACATGTTATCCTATATCTTCCCAGTTTGCTGCACGCCTGTGGTCAGGATGGTCCTATGGTAATTTTAGTGAACACTGCAAGGGCCTGCTCTTAAGAGGAACTGGCTCTAAGTTGTAGCGTTACATTGGTCCAGCATAGCTGAAAGATTTAAGGTTAATGTCAAGTTAAATGTGTCCTTCATGGAAGGCAGCAGTTAAAAGGGACAATTCAGTTTTAACAGTGGTTCAATGAAAACAAAATAAAACAAACAAATGTTATCCACAAACTAGTTACAAAATAACAAAAACTGTTAAAACTATTTAACAAGGAATGAAAAAAAAACAGGTAGCCCTGCATTTTCTGAAGAAATCTGCAACCATAGCTGGAAGTAACAGGCAACCAGGCTGGGCACAGTGTCAGTTCTGTTTATAATTTCCATTCTGAGCGAGGCAGGAAGGCAGGAGGAGTTAGCAAAGTTAAGTTGGCCGGTTCTGTTTGGTTAAAAAGGACCAGGCTGGCTAGCGGCCAATTTGACTTTAATACCCTTTCAGAAAAGCAATAGAGGAGCCATTTGTCCAGCTGTGGACATTAGAACCTCCTTTGTAATCCACTGTAATAACTAGTAAAGAGAACTGTTACCACTGTCACAATTTCCAGTTACTGCACTAAGGTGAGCCCCACTCATACTCCTGAGATGTTGACTTCATAATACCTGAATAGGATAAGCAGCAATTCACTTTTTCTTAATGAAATGATTCTGAATACGAACCAAATGTAAAAAAAAAAACATCACTCGTGATCCAACCAACAGGACAATCAATCTGTCGAGTGACATTAGGGGATGTTTTCGTACTCCATGTATGAACTGTGATTCTCTTTAAGGGGGCTGTGCCCACGGCTGTGCTGAGCTCCAGGCCTCCCCTGCCTACACTGTACCAGTCTGTGTGTGTCCCAGCCTCAGGCGTGCGTGGCAGAAGTGGCTGGAGGCTGTTCCAGGAGCACTCCCGAGTTGTTTCTGTTCTGGGAGCTGTACTGATACTGAGCCACACTGGAACCTGAACTGAGCGGGGCTGCTCTGGGCTGCCTGCTTGCCAACCTCTTCTGGGCCTGGCATAGCTTCTGGATCAGGAACCGCTTGTCTCGCCCCTCCTGGGAAACACAAGGATGAACAAATTACAGCGGGACATCCTTCCTTGACAGCACAGGAGAGGACAGGGGACCAGAGATTTTGATAGTTACCATCACAATAAATACGAGTAAGGCACTGGGATTAATGTTTTATGGAAAACACTAAATATGTATTTATTAAAATAATTCTGTTCATGTACATAGACACCACACGTGAGAGTGGTGTCTACGTACATCAGTATTACAATATCTCAATCTGCTAGATCCCTCCTGTGCCATTGCTGTGGCGGAGACGGGAGACCCCAGGGAGGCTGTACTCACCATCGCCAGCTGCTCTCTCAGCTGATTCACTACTCGCTTGTGAGCTCCAGCCAGGGCGATGAAGTAGAACATGGCCAGGCTGCAAGCAACACACAAAAACCAACAGACGTCTTAAGAATCTTCTACGGCCGGAAGCACAGAAACATACTGGCCTCTTTTTTTTTTCTGGTTCATAATCCAACATCTTCATCTACTGAGTCTGGCATGCCACACTCATGTTTCATCGGAAACAAAGAACTTGTCCGCTGGGTGCTTGGCTCATTCAGAACAAAACAACTTATAAAATGTAATCAGTCAGCACCAAAATCTTACCATCGTAATCACATTAACTAAAACGATTTTTCTCAACAACCCTCCCATCCCCTACTTGAAACGCCCAACCAGCAGAGCTTCTGGCCTCCCCAGCTGGCAAGCACATCCATGTCGGTCTGAGCTGGGCTGTTCTGTATCCTGCCTGGAGACAAGGGGATGGACTCCACTCACCATGTGACTACAAAGAAGGAGACGGCGAAGGCCTCCGAGGAGATCGCGTACAGGAATTCACTCAAGCCAGTGGGCAGCTCAGACACCACCTGTGGCAACACCTGCCAGGAAGTAGTGTAATTGACGAAGGGTCCGCACGCCTTCGAGCTGCTGATCCTGAGTGTGCACAAAGACGCAGGTGGAAGACAGACGTAAATAAAGTCATTTTGTGTCTTAAAATCCCTAATAAAATTAATTATTTTAAAATGAGGTACAGGATCCTGCAACACAGATAATGGACAGTTACAACTCATTTAATCAGGAAACGCCATGGTAGGAAAAAAGGTTCCAGGCTCCTTTAGAACACCCCCAGAACACTGCAGTGTCAGTCTGAGCAGTCCAAAGCCTTGCACAGGTCCCACTGTGGCACCATGAGTACCTCCGGTTTCAGCTGTAGAAAATCTGTGCAACAGGGCAATCTGTGGCAGTACTCACTGTGCAATGCTCACACCCACGGGCACACAGGCCATTGCCAGGCCAATCAGCAGCACCGCCAGGAAGAAGAAGTTGGAGCTCGAGGCCCGGAAGGGGCGAGTGGCTGGGCGGCAATTCTTCATCAGAGTGACCTACACATAAGAGCACATGTGTAATTCCACAAGGCTGCACAGGTCCAGGACAGTGCCAGCGAACAAGCCGAGCAGAGCTGTTAAGCCAAGACCTGAGGAATCGCCTGTTCTCAGTATAGAAGCGCTATGTACTTGTCTTGCAACACTTGTTTTCTCAGTTACAGTGAAATCAAACCTCTGAATGGAACAGGTACAGTTTTATAAATATGTCAAAAAGAGAAAGACTGAAATCAAATCTGTTCTTCCAGCTTTCTGTACTGATGGAACAGTACAGGCTCTCAATCCAAGAAGAAAGAGAGAAAGGCTCAGGCTTTTAGCACCGATCACTGAGAAACGTGGGGCTGTACCTTCTTGATATAGAAGATGATGAAGTATTTGATGGTGCTGATAGCAGGGAGAAGGGGGGAGTAGAAGGTGCCGATCCAGCATATGGTCTGGCCGTACACGATCTCCAGAACGTTTTGCGGGATGGCAAACTCCTGCTGGCCCCACCACTTTGCCAGCCCGCAGTCACAGTGAGTCACGATCAGCCTGGGAGAGGAAAGCAAAAGATGGGAGTTCAGCACTGTAGATCAACGTTAAGGCGGCCATTTCTGGTGCCGAAACACAATGCGTGCAAAAGGAGAACAAAAGCCGCACAGTTATGATGCAAAAACAGCCATTCGTCGCTCACGGTCAGTTCATTCTCTCTTCTTGTACCGTACGTCCACATCAGGGAGATTTTCATGGCTGAAGCCAAGGTAGGAGTAATCAATTAACGTCCACTGCAACTTACTTCCGGGGAAACTCCACAAACACAGTGACCGCACTAATGATGATGAAGTCGAAGATCATGAGCTTGTACATCTCTTGGCCCACACGGGACTCCCAGCACTATGGTCCCGGGACGGAGAGAAGAAAGAGAGAGACAGGGCTCACCAGGGTTATTCAGGAAGCTCTTTATACTAAAAGAGAAATAGATTCAGCCCTTGTTAGGTTGTTCAAAGTCAGAAGTTTAGCTTTGAACTGTCATCTTTCTACATATCTCTGATAAGACAGGGGGTGACCAGGAGTCCAGAAACAGAGCTGCAATGACAAAGGAGAGCGCCCTAGGTACTCACTGGATACAGCTGGTGGTTGTAGCCACAGGGACAGGGCACTGTGTCATCTGTCTCACAGTGCGTGATCTGAGACCACAGGGAGAACAGCAGCACCCCGATACTGGCCAGTCGCATGAATACACACCTGCAAAAGAGAGGAAGAGGACACAAAAAGACCAGGTTTGAAGGGGGAATTTCTTGAGGTACTAAGCTAATACACATCTCTTCTCCTTTATAGTTATTCTCATGCGTAGGAGGCAGAACATTTTTAATTGAAGGAAATGTTATGTCAAACACATGCTGGCCATTTGTTGCTATGTCTTTCATTAATAAAACATGTGAAAGGTTACAAACAAGCGGAGTTCACTCGGCCCAGCTGATTTATTTACAACTTTCCAGTCAGTAGATACATCCCCTGTCCTACCAGTGATTTGAAAAATCATAGTGGATGGACTATATACCCATCCATATACTACCTCATTTCTCTGAGCACAAGTGGGTACATACCTTCTGTTCCAATCATTTTTTTCAGTTTTTTTGTTATCTTGTCCTGTGGCCACGTTCTCCAGTACTGATATTTCAGTATATTTTTTTTCTGGACTAGAACACGTTTCCAAATTGCAACCCTGCCGTTTCCTACTGACTACTGACCTAACTTAACCTTGATCTGTTTCTCTTAAGATCAGTCTCATTCTTTTAATGTTTGCCCTTCTTAGGCCAGAAACCATTCTTTTAGACCAGTCTAACTTTGACATGCACCTCAAATGGAATCCTACTGTGGTCACAAACCGTTGATGTTTATTCCAATGACAGTTTTACATGATTTAGCATCAGAGGAAAGAAGCTGGCCTGTGTTCTGGTAGGAGAACACAGTGCAAACATGTCAACTATCAGCTCATTTGTGTCCCTCTGAAGTGCCTGAGCTTTCCACATGGGACAGAAGCCGGGGCAGCCTGCAGTGTGCCTTGAGTGAAGGGGGCAGGCGAAGATCCTCACCTCATCAAGGTGAATCGGATCTCAAAGGCGGGGGAGTAGTCCTCAAACTGGATGATGACATCAAACATCAGTGGGGTGATGAAGTTGCCCAGGGTGATGACAATGGAGGGGAGGTATTCTACAATTAGGTCCAGAATGAAGTTTGTCTGAAGCTTCAGAGTCTGTTACAGAGAAAATGCAAAGGACCTTTTGTGAAATGTTTGGTTAAAAAAGTATAGATTTTTTTAATCTTAAGGTTCTATTCTTGAGTCCACCTGGTGAAAAGATTAGTTGGTAAGACTCAGTTGACTCATGCTCTTCCACAATGTCGGTGGGACCTGTGTCTCACCTGCCTCTCCTGTGAGTAGATGGTAGCTCTGTAGATGCAGTAGAAGCAGCCGGCCAAAATGGTCACAACGAACAGGTTAAGAACCAGCCTGATAAGGTAGATGCGGCACCTCTCCTTGAATGTGCGGTCTGCGATCTTCTGCTTGATTCTCTCCTCCTCCAGGTCCGTCTGCACACAGAGCAGGGTGATCATGTCACACATAAACACTTCTGTAGCGGGATCATAATGTAGCACAAGGCAGAGCTATTCACTCCAGTGAGAAACACTTACAATTTCATATAAGGTTAAGCAAAGATTTTTATTCATGCAAATGAATATGAAATTGAAATACTCTTCTCAGCACACTGAGCTCTGATTTTAAAATTATACATGTAAAACTAGAGTATTTATCTAATGTTTGCTATGCCTCACCCTGAGTTCATACAGAAGACTGCTGCGCTTCAGTTTTGCTGCATTCTCATCTGTGATGCAGAAGTCCCAGCCAGAAAAAATCTTATTACAGAAGCTCTGGAAGCGATCCTCATCCTGAACCAGGTTCTGTTTGAAACCTGCCACTGACCTGTAGAAGAAAAGAACTACATATCTGAATAACATGGCCCATTACAAAACATTTCACCAGCTCTCGCAATAGTCCTAGAGATCGTGACCGTAAGGGATAAGACGTCCTAGGAGATACCTGCACCTCTCGATGCAACTACTCTTAAAACTCTAGACCCGACTGCAGACTTACCTTTTTACAATCCATACAAGGCTGAGAAAGAGGTAAGCAAAGGTTGCAAGCAGGTAGGCCAGTGGAACGTTATATGTGAACCTGGAGAACCGCACAAGGTCCACGTTGTAGTAGCCATAGAAGAGGTAGGTCTGCTCCAGGAAACCCTGAACCACAGAAGACAGGCAGAGGCTCAACAAGAATGGACTATAACCCAGCACAAACCCATAGAAAGTGGCCTTTTCCTACCCTATTTCTCATTTGGTGCCTATCGTATTATTTTTACTGCACATGATTCTAAAACAAGGATTCATGAGGATGAGGATGATGAGGATGATCAACATGAGGATAAAACAAAGTGCCAGGTAACAAAACCGTGCACACATGGTCATGAGGAATATCCGTTGGTTTATACGCACCGTCCCTGAGAGCAGGTCAATGATGTACTGATGGAAGAGCACCAGCCCCCGACGCACGCTGCTGGGGTAATCAGTGCACTCACTTCCTGTAGTGACAGAGCAGATCGGCTCACTACAGAACACTTCATCCTTGTGTGGACTTTAAACACAGAACAAGGACAAAAATAACACTCCCACTGCAGAGCAGGTTGTTTAATAGGCCAAAGGCTCTTGGAAACATGAAGAAAAGCAATTTATATTCAGCATTACATTAAAATTGCATGTCTGTCAGTGTAGACGTACTCAAAATATGGCAACAAGCTTCAGATATGAAGTATGCAATACTGGCTTAGAGAGGACTTTGATCTACAAGACCAGTGATGGATGAAACTACAGGGCAATGCGAGTCTTCTAAGCTTCCCTGGATCCCCGGGGGAGTATTGCTTACCATACTGTTGGACAAATGTCATGTTGGCTGAACTGTGGGATACGATAATGATAGGAAGAATGATTAAGCCGAACATGAGCAGGAAGATGATGAAGTTGAGCAAGACCAGGAACCGCAGGAAGGAGAAATAGGACAGGATTCCTGTGCCAAACTTTCCTGGAGAAAGCAAAGGGATATATTTTACATGATAAATAAGGACCACCAGGACATCCTATAAGAAATATGGATTCCACACATATCCATCATTACAAGGGTGCTTGGATACCTGTAAAGTGTATCGGCTCAACTCCAGATCC